TGTTGGATGAGTCAGTATTTTGTTAGTGCCACTTAACAGAGGGCAATCACCATAAAGCCATCTACCCAAGGGCTCGGGGAGTAGGGGGATGGAGGGAAACTGGACCAAATAAGTGGACACGTGTTCTGCAGACAGTAAGGACACAACAACCACCCTGGAACATGTATTCTCGGTTCTCTCTGAGGCCTGAGGAGGCTAGGCTAGAATCATGTAGTGTCTGTTCTCTCAGCTCAGCATTTCACCATTGCACAGTTTTCTCCTAAAGATAATATCTCTGGATTCTTTTTGTTGTATTACTAGTTATTACTCTATAATTTTACAAGACCATAATTCTATGAATAGCCCAAAAGTCACTGGTTCTTAACTCAGAAAGCACTGTTAGAGGTGCCCAGACATCTTTGACCTATAAATATAGGTGTAAGCAAAATAGCTATGAGACCAGAGTGCCTGCTGAATTAAGGAGTGGCATTTATTTTTCTTGCTCTTTCAAGATGAACAATTATTCCCTAGTTCAGTATCTATTCAAGGTTTTTTCTGCCTTTTCTTCCATCGCAATTAAAATCCCTTTGGTAACCTTTAGGCTAATTAGATAATTTACTACTCATATTATCATAATATTTCTTCTAGGTAAGTAGTTTTATTATTCCCACTTTTCAGATATGGAAATTAAGGCTCTAAGAGATTAATTTATTTATCCTGTGCTTAATCTGTGCGTACTGGTTAACTTTAGATGCCCTATCCATCATTACTAAATGTCTTTAATATCTGTTTCCTTGGACAAAACGTATTAAAACCAACGACAGTTACAGACTTCTTTTGTATAGACTAAACCCAATTGCTAATCTGTTTCCCCTTATGCTGAGCTTTAAAAATAAAAATGTACTTGGCAATAAGCTATATTGAAACTTGAAAGGGTGATAAGTCTTATTGGACTGTTGGCTCATTTCTAATGCAACAATGTAAGATTAAACAAAGCTTTCTTTGTTTTGAACATTCTTCCGAATTATTTCTGACTTCAATGATCTGACTTCAATGATAGTAGCTAGGCATTTTCAGGAAAATGCCCACAGAATTCTATAGGCTGTGGTTTGCCATTTGAGCTGATTAGGAAATTGGTGGGGGTGGGATTAAGATCATCATAATCGTATTTCTCACAGTCTCCGACCTATGCCAACAATTAACTTTTTCTTAGGCATCCATAGTTTTCAGGGATGGAATTCAAGTACCAAGCCTGAATATCTATTTTTAATTTTAAAATGGATGAACATTTAAAGCTTGCCTGATTCAAGGCTAAAAGACTTTCTACGTTATTCCCTCTTGAAATCTAACATTGACAGATTAACTTTTCTTTCGAAGAGTGCCTTCTACTTACAGCCAACACATTTATTTATGTACAACTTCTTTCCAAAAAAGGTTCTATTCTTTACAAGTTATTAGTGTGATTTTACACAATTTATGGACTCCCCGGGGGGTTTTCTTGTCCTCGTCTGTAAAGACAGATGATAAAAATCTCTTATCTAGGGGTTAATATCCAAAATTTGTTAAGAACTCATGCAAATCAAAACCACTATGAGATATACGACCTCACACCCATCAGGACAGTGATTAATAAAAATTCAACAGATACCAAATGTTGGTGAGGGTGTGGACAAAAGGGAACTCTTATACACTGTTGGTGGTATTGTAGACTGCTACAACCTTTATGGGAAATGGTATTTCTAAAGAAACTAAAAATAGAACTGCCATGTGATCCAACAATCCTTGCTCTGGGCATATACCCAAAGGAAGTGAAATCACCACCTCATAAAGATATCTGTTCTCCCATGTACATTGCAAGCTTATTTACAGTAGCTAAGGTATGGAAATAACCTAAGTATCCATCAATGGATGAATAAAGAAACTGTAACATACATACATATATGTGTGTGTGTGTGTGTGTGTGT